TTTAGAGGGGGCGGGTTGTCAAGGTATGGGCCGATCCGATTATCTACATGTGAGATGTGTTGCTGTATCTGTGACGATGTTGATGAGCGGCTCGGGAGGATGACCAAGTTCTTGATTATGATGATGGTGATACGACGACGACGAAGAGGACGACTCCTTGCTTCGTACGAAGTCTGAACCGCATATCCCACGTCCTAGACTTGTGTGGCCCAACGTACATCAAGCCCTACGCCCAAAATCTAACAGGCCCACTTTCACAAAACTTCACCCGAGCTCATGATGCCCTTATCCTCCAGTTGTGAACCCCTTGACCTCCGTTTTTCCAAGTGAAAGTCTCCAAACCCTACACGCCAAGCCAGACTTGAAGCCTCAGCCGAGGTTCTTGCTCTGACCCCATCGGACCTTGGTGCGTCTTACAGCCTGGATATATTCAGCTCAAAGGCTCGACTTGCTTGGCGCGGCTTCGGGTTGAGGGTTCTTGGGGTCAGGTAGAGGGACCATGTTGTTGAGTGGGCGTCGGATTTAAACGATTCGAGAAAATATGATTGATGGTGCGATTTACATTGTTCCAGGACTCATACTGCAGGACTTGATATAAGGATTGCCCCAAGGTCCATGTGCCCAAATAGTATATGTTTCGGCCTCAAAGTAGTCCGGTTTTCTTGAAAGGACATCACTTGCATGGGCACAAATGTTTCCAGCAGAATATGGGTTTACCCTGGGCTCTAGTTACCTGAGTAATAGGTCATGAACCACATACTATGTAACCCAGTAAGCCCTAAACCATAAACCCTAAACCCTACGCCCTAGGCTCTAAGCCCTAAGCCTTATAAACCCGAAGACCTGAACCCTAAGCTTTAAGGCCTAACGGGCCTAACCCATTGTTTAGGTACCTGGAGCTGCAGGGCTTTGTCATGTTGACGGGGCTGCAGGGCTTCTGTCGTCGAGGTTTGAGACGCGGCTTAGGGCTTAGCTTAGCGCTTAGGGTTTAGGGGTTTAGGGTTGATGGTTTAGGGTTTAGGGTTTAGGACTCCCCAGACGCCATGAAGCCAAACTATACCGTACGCAGTAGCTTGTGGCGGAGGAGAGGGCGGGGGTCCTATCTCTGAACCCTAGACTCGGTTTTCCAACAAGTCGGGGGGGGTTTGCTTCAGGGTCTACGTAGCCCTAAACCCTAAACCCTAAACCCTAAACCCTAAACCCTAAACCGTGGTTTCGAGTTTGGTTGGATCTTCAGACTGCGTGCTCCCGGCTCTGTGTAGAAGACGATGTCATGTGCTCAGAGGCTCGTTGTCAACCAGGTGAATCGCTCCTCATTTGGTTTAGGGTTTAGGGTTTAGGGTTTAGGGTTTAGGTTTCATAACAACCTAACTAGTGGCTACCAGGCTTTACCATCTTATGTTATAGCTAACTCTATCCTAGACATACCTAGACAGAACAGTGGGTGCCAGAGAACGATGGCACCTATAGCTTCCATTGGAGTTGTTTTTTAGTCTATTACCTAACTTCCTTAGTCTGCTTATTGGCCAGCTTTCTGACCAGGAGCCTTAACGTATAAGGAGCCCAGGTACTTGGACCCTTACAGTAAGCTAAACAATAAGCAGAAAGCTAGGCTGGACTTCTTCGAAAACCCTCAATGCTCAGGCCAGCTTTTGGTTATTGCCTAGCTTCCCCTAAGGGTCCCAGTACCTGGGCTCCTTATACGTTAAGGCTCCTGGTCAGAAAGCTGGCAGACCAAAAGAAGCTGCATCGCAGAGTACTCTTGGGAAACCCAGGACCCAAAGCCCCAACACCCTGAAGCCTTAACTAGCCCCTGCAAGACTAAACCCTAAACCCCAAACCCCAAACCCTAAACCCCTAAAACCTAACCCCTAAACCCTAAACTCTAAAAGGCCCAAGATGCCTAAACCCCAAACCCTGGACCCTATCCCCCAAGCCCTAAACCCTAAG